CCAGGTTTTCAGGGGAAAACTGTGGCCTGCAATAGGTTTGTAAATATTCACTTATGATAGGGAGTGTCAGGTTAGGGGTCAGTCTGACCTTTGAAAAGTCATCTTCTGTGCACCTCATGAAACTTTAATTAATGGCTAAATGACTTCTGACTTTCATCATCTGTTAAAGTTTTCATCATTTTCATCATCATTTAAAGTTTTTCAGTAAAACTGCGTCAAATTTTTTAAGCATGTCACTTTATCCTGTTGTTGGCCAACAGACCTTCAGTCTGGAGCACATACTGTGTCACTTCAGACTATTTTACAACCACTAACATCTGTTTTTTAGCCTGCTTCTAGGGACAACTAGAAACAACTTATCAGCTGACGTGAGAGTTCTATTTGGAGTATTTTTAGTTAACAGATCAGACGTATGATGGAGCTAATCCATTTAGAGATTTAAAAACAAGCAATGAAATCTTAAAATCAATTCTACAACGCACTGGAAGCCAGTTTAAATGAGCCAAGACTGGGGAAATATGGTCATGTTTACGAGTGCCTGTCAAGAGTCAGGCTGCAGCATTTTGAACTAGCTGAAGATGAGAGAGCAGAGCATGGCTGATACCAAAATAAAGACCATTACAGTAGTCAAGCCTGGATGAAATAAATGCATGTATCACTTTCTCGAAGTGAGCAACTGACTAATTGTTCTTAGTTTTTGCAAGGGCCCTGAGCTGGAAGAAGCTGGCTTTTACTACAGAATTTATTTGTTTCTCAAATGAGAAACTGCTATCAAAGAACAATCCCAGATTCTTTGCAAAGGGAGTTCTGGACTTTTCCAGAGGACCAGGGTCAGTTTTTTGGTCGTTTACATTGAAAAAATGTAATGCAAACCACGATTTAATGTCATCAAAGCAGTCTAGCAAAACCTTCAGAGAGTCTGTAGAATTCTTTTTAAGAGGAAAATAAATTCGAGAAACATCAGAATAACAGTGAAATGTTATAAATACTGTGGTGGGTGGCTTGTTGCATGTAGAATTGTTATCCCTTTAAAAAATAAACCATAAAGTAACTGACTGACTGAATGTGACTATTATTATGATTGTTATTATTGTTGTGAGTTATTCTTTTTTCAATAATTTAGCTTTATTTGAAACATAAATGTTAATTATAAGCAATAAGGAATTTAATCAAACATTTGGTTCTTTTGTTTAACTGGCAGTGTAACGTTGTATACATGTTGTCACGGCTGCGATGGCAGGCGTGTGGAGGTGAAGTAAGGACCCAAGTGCAGGCAGAGGTTGATATGAGAGTGGAGATGGCAAGGACTGGAACTAAGAAATAAACTAAAACTGGGAAAGCCTAAACACATGGAAATGAAGTCAAAACCCTTAGGGTGATCACAGGGAAACAGACCAGCAGCTTACAAAGGCAAACACAAGGCTTAAATACACAGAGGGATAACGAGGGAATGAGGCACAGAAGGAGAACACAGCTGGGAGTAATCAGAAATGATGAGACCGAGGGGAAGCAAAACTAGACACATTCACATAAGACATGCACCTTCAAAGTAAAACAGGAAATGCACAACAGACACAGAGATCCAGACTAGACACTGAACTTAACAGACAGATTCACGAGGAGACACTGTGACATCATGGACAGACAGAGGGAACACAGAGAAGTGGGACCAGGGCAGGCACAGAACTGAAATCTAACAAATGGCAAATCTTAAAAGAAGAAATAACCAGAACAAACACGAACATAAAATATTATAAAGAAATACAAAACACTGACTCGTCATTTTATTAAAAGACATGATGTTTGTTTGTTTGTTTGTTTGTTTGTTTGTTTGTTTGTTTGTTTGTTTGTTTGTTTGTTTGTTTGTTTGTTTGTTTGTTTGTTTTGTCCTGTCCTGTGTTTGTCCGTTATATGTCACATGTAGCACCAGGGTCTCGGAGGAACGCTGTCTCATTTCACTCTGTACTGTACCACTGTATGGTTGAAATGACAATAAAAAGAAATGCAGCAATCATAAAGCATATCTGTGGTAACACCCAGAGAGGAGGAAATGAAAGAAAACATGTTACTCCTCCTCTTGCAAAAAGAACTTAGAAGGATGTAGTTCAGGTATATTGCTAAATTTTTATGCTTTTTTGTTTTTCTGATGTTAGTGTATTTGATATACACTCAACAGAAGGTTATAGCCAAACAATGCAAGATTTAGAGGAATGACACAGCATGAAACTGCAGCAATAAATTCAAAGTTCAGCCAATAAATTATATTCCGGTTATCCAACCTGTTATCACAACAATGCAATCAGATAACACTGTACCAAAAGTACCGCTAATGTGTTGTGACAAAGCCTGCTAAATTTACTAACCACATTGCCAAACATATACTGTCAAGGCAAATGTAACAGTTCACCAAGCAAACAGACTCAGAGATGTTCTTTTGGAAAGTTTTCTAAAATGGATGACTCAGCTTTTCTTGTGCTCTTCTGAATAGAGACCTCTGACGTTGTGCCTGGAATCTGCTGGAGTTAGTCCCTCGAGTTTAATGGTCACAGCTCACAGTATTCCTTTTACCTCTGGTACCACTGTGGACCCACATCCCACTACAATGTGCTGGATAGTCTCTAGGACATCTTTGCACAGTCAGCCTATTCAGTTCTGTCAGTTGTGTTAGACTCCTGCCTCCATGGGTGTGGTGCTTAGGGCCCATCATTGTGCTGCCGTGATTAGTGCCTCTGTGCTGTCCTTTACCATATGGAAAAGATATATTCAAATTCAAATTCAAATTTTATTTGTCACACACACACAACCATACACAGTATGACATGGGGGTGAAATGCTTGTAGCTGTACAATGCCCGACCATTAAATGACAGAAGAAAAGTTTTACAATATTTACAATTTACTACAGAATTTACAAATTAACTTAGGAATTTACAGTAAAGAATGTGCAAATAGCAGAAGAGATTATAAAGATTATAAAGATTATAAATTATAGGAATTATAGGATTGGGGATTATATATTATAGGATTATAGGATATAAATCTTATAAAGTTTGTATCTGTCTTGTGTGAAACTTGTATGAAAAGCATATAAGAGTGAAAACAGATATAAGATCCCTTGAAAAATTATATAATGAAACTTGTATGTTTTGAATACTTACTAAAACAATATATGAAAGTAATGAGAAAGTGGCCACTTTCATGAGTAATCACATATAAGTTTTTACTGTTTCTTTTTCATATGGGTTAGGCCAACCTTTTTTAGCCACTGCTTGGATTTCCTGATGTCACCTACATCCTATGTTGTCAGTGGTACATCATATCCAGGGACTTGATCATCCATGATTGTTTCTCCTCATGTTCCTCATCACCATTTGCCTTCAGCCACCTAAAGTACTTTTGGAGAAAAATTCTCAGGGAACCAGATGAACTTCTTTAAGAACATCATCCTGATCATAGAGCCTCAAGGTGCTGGACTTCAGCTGGACACCCCAGTTGTGTCCAGCCCCATTGTGAGGAGTTTTTGTTTGTTGACATAAGTGACATATATCCTCTTCTGTGCCCAGCTCTGACCATTAGGATGTATGGAAGGCTTGCATCTTATCCCTACCATTCCACTGACTTCTCAACCATTGCCTTACATTTTGGAAGTATTTTGTTGTGGTTGTGGTACTTTTCCAGACTTGTGCTGTCAGGCCTTCATTGAATAATATTACTGTAGCTTCTTCATGCCTGAAAGTCAGAGTTAGATATCTGCCTTTGTGATGTTGTGATTGTAAAACTTGTTATTTTTGACATTTTTCCGAGATTCAACTAAAGAAATGGGAAGAAATTATGGGTTTTTGACTAAGTGTCTAAAAATAGAATTTCTGATTGGTTCTTTGCTAAGTGTAGTCAGCACTGGGTCATCCTTTGAGTTAGGTGCTTCGTAATGCTGAATGGTTTTTAATTCGGTGGATTAAAAAGTAAACACTCCTTTTAAAAAAAAAAGGTCAGGCACAAGAATTGAAGAGCTCTAAAAGACTTTCAGAAAGCCTGGACCAAGACCACTTTTTAAAAAAGGACAAGACAGTTTGGCTTCTTTGGAAACAAAATATAAAGACGTGAGGGATGACTCAAGATATTTGCACAGTACTGTCTACATGGCATAGATTACAATGTTTTTTTTCTATTGTACTTATACCAGTAACAGACTGACAGCAACTTTTACTGCTTGTCTTTGCCCTTGTTTCAAAAGCCCCACCTCTCTGAGCAATGATAATTACTGAATTATCTTAGTGTGTGACAGCAGGGAAGACTCACCTACTAGTGTCAGAAAACATCTGACATAATAAAAAGCTTATCGTTGTGCTGCCATCAGAAGTTAAATTAGGTATATTTCATAATTCATACTCTATCTTCTATGTAATCACATTCAAAGTGTCAGTCACAGGACTAATGTTTTAGATTCACGAGGGCTAGAAAAGATAAGATAACTATAATATTAGCTGAGAACAGAAATATATAGTTGGATGTTGCAATATTATTACTGTGTTACTACCCATCTGCAGGCTTGTTGAGATAAACCAAAAGGTCCAGGTAATTCTTGGTGAATATCTTTTAATACAGAGGTTATTTAGAGGCAGAAGGAACCAGAATTAAAAGACTCCTGTGAGACAGTGCCATCTAGTGCTTTGAGGAGTGCACTATAAACATCTTCAATTTCACGCAGCTTTTGACTAGTCCATGCATTAATACAAATAAAAACCAAACAAAAAAATAACACATGCAAACAACAACAACAGAATCTAACCCATTCTTTGAACTCTATTTGACCTCTTTCCTCACTTGTTTCAGGGAACTTCCACCTTCTGCTGATTTCATCATCACGTGAATTCCAGTATTAAACAACATCAGTTGTGAAATCAAAGTGTGACTGTAATCTGCACTGTTTTAACAGATTTAGTAAATGATTTAAAACTTCCTCCCAGTAACTCACGGCTGTTATAAAAACAAAGAAGGTAAAGCAACCCTACAGCAGAGTCAAACATGGCGAGTGTTACTGTGACATCCTGTTGGAAGAGTCTTTTGCTGGTGGCACTTATGGGTGAGAACATTTAATTTGTGTTCACTGTTATTATTCTTTTAAATGCTGACTATGAACATGAATGACAATAGTAACAAAGTAACTGATACATAAGGCCCAAGAATACAGGTCTCTGTGCTTTGATTCATGTTTTATTTTAGCAGATGTTTATCACATTTATCCATACATAACGTCTTCTGAGTGTAAAGATTTTGGATATTGATATACATGGAATGAATTAACTGAGTAAGGATTAACCCTCTGATGCATAGTGGTCACTGGAGTGGACAGCTACTAAAACGTACATATCTCTTTAATGCATTGGTTTCTATGGTGGAACTGCATATTAGCCTCTAGAGTGCTCTCTGCTGCCATGCTCCATTGAGGTCAATTCAGTGTTCAGTTAGTGCAACTGCAAGTAAATTTCCTCTGAATCAAAGATGGCAGACAAACTGTCACCCCTGCCGACCACTGCTGGCATATGCTGTCAATCCTTCTATGCTAAAAGAGCCCAACAGGTAAAAAAAATATGATGATATGCAGTAACATCTAGGGAAGGATATTATCTGTTTGGAATAAGAAATTGTTATGTCTAATATGTAGAAAACTACGATTAACCATGTGTCCACTGTAGTGGACATCATGCATTACCCACTATATTTTTTTAACATAAGTCATAAATTGTCTCACTGTTTTTTGGGACTGTTTTGGTTATAAGTAAGCATATAATTGTTACATTTATAAGCTACTCATTTAAAATGTATATTTCTGTGCAGATCAGCTGTAGTTTGAGTTACTATAATAATTATTTTATCATATTTTGTAGACTTCAAATGCAGCAAAGAATAAGGCAGCGTACAGAATAGTCCAGGAAATTCCATCCAGCTCCAGTGATGATGATTTCATTGATGAGTGCAGTGATGATGAGTTCAGTGATAAGTCCAGTGATGATGAGAGTGGCTGCCAGAGCAGAACAGAGACATAGGAACTACGGACAGCCTAGGTGTGATGAACACAGAAGTGTTTGGAGATGCAGAGACTAAGATGTCAGTTTGTGTTTTCTTCCAGCATGCTACTAAGGGCTTGGTAATACTGTCCTGCATCGTTATAGAACTGTGTAGACTCAAAAATGTTTCTCTTGTTGGAGATAGTTTGCCATATTCAGGTGTAGGATTCACAGCTAGGACTGTTGATTGGTTTTGTTATTTACGTCTAAACATTGGGGCCTTATGAGTTGAAAGTTCCAAAAAAATTGCTGAGATGTTTTTCAAAGGATACAAGCAAACAAGTGTTTGTATATTTACAATAGAACACAAGGTAATTAATTTTTATAGTAAATTCACAGTATTTCATGCTAAGTGCTCAGGCGCATGTAGTCCACTGGAGTGGACAAGTTTATAACTTTATAAAAAAACATATTTTTGGGGGAAAAAGAGTTGAACATTTTTTTTCATGTCCTGAGAAGAATAAAAGCACTTAAGAAAAAAATCTTGACCAAGGCTTTCATAATTCATGCATCAGAGGGTTTTGAAAAGTAGGTTTTTCTCCATATTATGTGATCCTATTTTTGTTGTTGTTGTGCCCAAACTGTGCAACAGCCTTCCTCGGTCACTCAGATCGGCTGACTACGTTAATTAAGTTAAGTGACTGCTGAAAGACAGTTGCTTCTTTAACTTCTGTTTTCATGTAAATTATCATTATTATTTGTATGTTAACAAAGTTTATATTTAACCATACATCTGTGGACAGCTTTGAGTACCTGCTGATTCTAATATATGTCTTACATCATCTTTTTCTCACACTTAAGTTTGTCTGGACACACGTCTGAACTCCTGTTTAGTTAACTGATACTTATGCAGATAGATATCCATTATGGAGTAATGAATTATATATTATTTAATTCTCAGATTGAGTTATTTTGTGCTTTTAACCAGTATTGTACCAGTATTGACACAGAGTGGCTTTTACTGGTATGTGTTACAGCCATCCTGACTGCTCTGTCCCTCAGGTTTACCAGGTTTGGGGACCAAGGTGCAGATTTCTTGGACTGGCAGGGTGACAGCTGGTTCCCCCACTACTTTCACATGCTCATCTAATTGTTTTCCAAACTGCATCTACACCTGGTCCTTTAAGGCCAGCACAGTCAACGGGAGCACATTAACTTGGACACCAGATGGACTGGATGATACAGTGAAACTGCACTGCACTGTCTTCAATCCACAGACAGGAGTCTACACAAGTACTGACACCATTGTAGAAATTACAAGTGAGTACATCAAGTTAAATGTCACATTAAATAGTGGAAATAACAAAGGTACCTTTTATTCTGTACTTCTAAAATGTTTGCCTTGATGACAGGAACAAGGTGAGTGTATGAGTTACACATAATTAGGACACACTACATGGACAAAACTACTTTGCTATCTACAGATTACACCTACCCTGTCATGAGGCCCTGGGCACGCAGTTTTTCAGCTGATGCTAATGCCAAAGGAGGTTTAAAACTCTGCAGCTATTGAGTCAGGAGGGAATATCTAAGAGGAAGGAAATTCCACATGCTGATTTTTATCAATGGTGGCATGTTATTACATCTCATTCAAATTCAGTGATGTTTATAGAACAACAGATTCTTCCACAAATATTTGTAAAGGCAGACTGCATGGCTAGGTGCTTGACTTTACACACCTGGGACAACTGAATGCAAAGATTAAGAGGTGTGGCTTAACACTACTGCCCATATTTTTATTCTCACTTTATGAATTAAAAATTTATTTTTTCTTTTTGTACAGATCAAATATCTGTACAAGTCAGTCCGCTGAACACTGTACCATCTCTCAACCAGTCATTAAATCTCATCTGCCATGATGCCAGATTTGGTGATCCACAAGGTCTATCAGACCTGGTCTGGTATAAAGATGGACAAGAGGTGACCCTGCGTGAAAATATGTGGCTTCAGCAAAACAACCTCACACTTCATTTTGACTCCCTGCTGCCCTCTGATGCTGGTTTCTACCAGTGTCAAACATATCTGCCTACATCACAGACAACAGTTGTCAGCCTGGGCTATCTACTCAGCTGTAAGTACAGGGATACAGAGAGGTTAAACCAGAACAAGAAAGGCTGTGTTTTATCATAACTGCAACAAGCTTTCTAATCTTTTGCAGATGATCAGTGGAACGTCAGCATTAGCGGACCTGACACTGTGTTTCCTGGTCAGTTAAGTGAGTTCACCTGCCTGACTAGCTGCACCTTAAATGTGGAATGCACCGTCAGGTGGGAGTTCAGGGGAGGTTTCCCTGTTGGAACCTACTTTTCAGTTCATAAAAATGAGGTCAGGTGGACTCCTTCACTACCTGGGACTTTTCAAAATTTCACCTGCATTGCAGAGAATAAAGCTGCTGGACGTTCTGCTGAGGCCACCAAGATGGTAGAAGTTAAAGGTACGCACTACTCCTTAGCACTTGCTTGTTTCTATTCTTATTGCTAAATAAATTTCAATTACTTTCTTTTTCTCTCAACAGATATCCCAATCTCTGGATCGGAGGCGATGCAGCTTAGTGGACTTTTTGCAGGAATCCTCAGTCTGGGAATGTGGGTCCTCTTGGGTTGGGCTCTAGAAACAGTATACTTATATTCACTTTAAAGAGACAGTTCACCCCAGTATCAGCTTTATGCCCAAATAAACACATGACTACACCATGGATTATCACAGAATAGTTACTACAACTAAATGCAGCTGATATCTACAAAACTTTTCAACTCAGACTTACACTCCAGAGAAAAACAACATAAATTTGATTTGGGGTTGAACTGTATCTTTAAGTTTTAGTGTGAATATTTTCCACGCTATTTATTTCTGCAGCAGCTTATTCTTTTTATTATTATTCGTGGAAAAGAAACATATGTGATGTCAAATGTTAGAAAAGTAGAAGCAGTGTTTTTTCTTATGAATTTTTGTAAAACATCTGAACTCGCATATGAAAAATAAATTATGTGCATTAAGTCACAGTTGGAGTTGATTCCTATTTAACAATTAAAGTTGACACATGATTTTCTTTATGCTCCTTTATAGTGTACGTTTTAATTACAAGCCATTTGTAATTAAAACGTACACTGTAATTAATTTAATTTAACCACAAGGTGTCACTAACAACACAGAAGCACTGGATTTCAAGGACAGTGGAACATATAATGTAAAATATTTCTGTGAATGATATTGCAATAAGATATTGCAATAAGATATTGCAATAAGATATTGCAATAAGTACTCTGACTGTTTTGTTTTTTTCAAAAACAAACCTCAAGATTTATTAAAAATTCTTTCACTGGGATGTAACTCCTTCAGTGAAAAATTACTTTTGTAAAGCCAGCTTGATAAACAAACTGTGTGACGTCAATTCTGCGCATGTGGTCAGTGATTCAACAATCTGTTTCATGTTCCTTTGAAAGTGAACAATTAATGCAGAGAAGACAACCACACTAAGCAAACTGAGAGAGACTGAAGTTTTTACCTTTGTTTTTCTCTTTTCTTCTTTTGTCATATCTCAGTTGCTTTATCAGGCGTAAGAATAGGTGGGAAAAATGAAACTAAAACATCTGCTTTCATTTTGTTGTAAAAGAAACCAACATTTGCATGTTAACCTCATTGTAGTTTCAGTTGAAATGCTGCAATCTCTGTAGTATATGTATATATATCCTGTGTTTAATTATAAACTAGAAAATGTAGGTTGGTGTTTTATGTTATGTCTGTTATGTACTTTCTCTTTTAAATTATTGAAACAAAAAGATATTCAAAAAAAGATTAATTCCAAAATGGACCAAAATGGAACTTTGTGGCCAAAATGCAAAACGCTATGTGTGGCGGAAAACTAACGCTGCACATCACTCTGAACACACCATCCCCACTGTCAAATATGGTGGTGGCAGCATCATGCTCTGGGGGTGCTTCTCTTCAGCAGGGACAGGGAAGCTGGTCAGAGTTGATGGGAAGATGGATGGAGCCAAATACAGGGCAGTCTTGGAAGAAAACCTCTTGGAGTCTGCAAAAGACTTGAGGCTGGGGCGGAGGTTCACCTTCCAGCAGGACAACGACCCTAAACATAAAGCCAGGGCAACAATGGAGTGGTTTAAAACAAAACATATCCATGTGTTAGACTGGCCCAGATCTAAATCCAATCGAGAATCTGTGGCAAGATCTGAAAACTGCTGTTCACAAACGCTGTCCATCTAATCTGACTGAGCTGGAGCTGTTTTGCAAAGAAGAACGGGCAAGGATTTCAGTCTGTAGATGTGCAAAGCTGGTAGAGACATACCCTAAAAGACTGGCAGCTGTAATTGCAGCCAAAGGTGGTTCTACAAAGTATTGACTCAGGGGGCTGAATAATTACGCACACCCCACTTTGCAGTTATTGATTTGTAAAAAAATGTTTGGAATCATGTATGATTTTCGTTCCACTTCTCACGTGTGCACCACTTTGTGTTGGTCTTTCACGTGGAATTCCAATAAAATTGATTCATGTTTGTGGCTGTAATGTGACAAAATGTGGAAAAGTTCAAGGGGGCTGAATACTTTTGCCCTACAGGGAACGGTTCTGGCTCTGTTTGTCTTCACCATCTACACTGCAGACTTCTCCCACAACTCCATCTTTTACGGTGTAGTCTGCTGAGGTGGCAAGATCTCTGCCGGGGACAGGAAGAGACTGAACAGGTTGATCCGCAGGGCCAGCTCTGTTCTAGGATGCCCTCTGGACCCAGTGGAGGCGGTGAGTGACAGGAGAATGGTGGCTAAGTTGTCATCCCTGTTGGACAACGTCTCCCACCCCATGCAGGAGACTGTGACAGCACTGAGCAGCTCCTTCAGTGGGAGACTGCGGCACCCACGGTGTGGGACGGAGAGATTTCGCAGGTCTTTCTTCCCCACTGCTGTCAGACTCCACAACAAAGACTTTTGCAGCTGATCAAACACAAACCCACACATGTGCAATAACACCAAGTGCAATACTCTTTTCTGACAAAGTTGTATTTTTACAACTTTACAACAGTTGTATATAGCATTTGTATTCTATTTTTAACCTATTGTGGATATTATTTTATTTTATTCTATTGTATATAGTATTTTATTTTAATTTATTCTATATGCTGTACAGTTGTGTACAGTATATTATTCTTATTGTATTCCAGTGTTCAAATAAAGGTTATCTTATGTTATCCTAGGTTTCCTGCAAGACCTGAGGCATGACTGTAAACAAATATTGAATCTGACTAGGTGTGCCCTCCAAGGATCCATGATCTGCTCACACCTGCTCACACTGAAGTTTTGTTTTTTTTGTTGAGATGATGTCAGGCCTCCATCAAATGTTTCTGTTTCGTTCCCTTCTTTCCCTTCAGGCTCCGTGCCAAGTAAGGAAGGATGATGCTACCTGTTTATGGGAAAAGTGATTTCTGATAATTGCTGTAATATAAACTCCTCATATGAGGGTATCAAGCAGAAGCTCTTCCTCTTCCTCATTAACATTTTATTACCATTTTCTACTTATTTATTGTTGTTTTTGTTGTTCTCATTCTATTTACATGGTCTGACATTTACTTTGTTTTTCAGATGTATCATACAATATACTTGTTTTAAAAAGTACAACAGAACTTTGTATATGATGAATTCAAAACATATTACACCAGATACATTAAAGTCACATGATGACAGCGATGTTAAAAATATTAATGCAGAAGTCTGACAGGTAGTTCATTCTTTATTCAAACCAAGTAGTAAAACATGATTAAGTACCTAGCTTAGCTTTTAAGTCCATTACATTTGATTGATAGCTAACTATTGGCTATTGGTTATGTCAAAAATTTGTAGATTAAACTACAAAGTATTGCATTCACTGGCTGAAATTAGACCCACCATTTCACCCTTAGCATTAAAATGATGTGTACAAAAAACATTATCAAATGCAGGATGCAGCTATACTACATTATATTTGTTTGTAAAAAAAACATAAGGTTTTTTATAAAACTCTGCCATGGCTCATCAAATGTTGTTTTTTCTTTTCTAGGACTCTGAATAGTGATCAGCAATAGGGAACTAAAGAGTTAAGACTATAATTTCATGTCAACAGGGCCCCTCACACTTACCTTTAAAATCTACAAATGACCTATACATCAATCACATCTTCTGTTTGGCCAGTATACACAGCACAGGTTTGCTCAGATGCTGAACTTCGTCCCGTCATAGCTCAAACAATACACCCGCTGTTTACTCAGTGCTATTGAGAGGGGCATAATGGTTTGCCTGTGCTTCACATCCAACTTGGGAAAGAGTATTTCTTAGTGTGTGAAAACAATTGGTTGTCTGAAATAATACAGTTTTCTAAAAATTGTATCACCTTTCTGAGAAGTTTGACAAGCATGAAACCCAGATGACCTATAACACCTGCAGATAAGAAGCAAGTGGAAGCAAGCAGGAAAGTTCCTCATCCTTACTTGGCTTGGCCAGGTTGCGGTTTTTACAAATCACAGTAGGAGGGCGTCTGTCAACATCCTCATTGGAGCGCTCACCCTTAGATCCGTCACATCTGTCCCACAACTTAGGGTCAACACTACCCTTACAGTTTTAGGTGAGAACAGATAAGTAAGAGCTGATGTTCAAGGTTGGGAGAACCATTTTTGTAGAATTTCAACTTGTTTATTAATAATGGTTTGAAGTTGGTAGTTTCTCACCAAACATTATAACTGAAACACAAGCATTTAAGGTAAATGTGAAAGCATAAAGTCTCAGGGAAAGGTTGGGAAAAAATATAAGAGCTTTTCCTAAAGTGTTTTTTTATTTGTACTTTTTAGTATTAGCATAATTTTAAAAAAAAAAGTTTATCATTTATTCTGAAACATTTCAGCAAGTCACTCTGACACTTGAACCCTTCACCCTGGCTTTCATGCATTATATTTATTACTCACTTTTTATTTTGGGAATGCTGAAGCATGCTTTGAATAAACTGTGATCAGTGTTGAGTAAATACTATGAGATGAAATGCATGTGGGTGTTTTACAAAAAATGAAATCATCTTTTGTGGAAGTCCAGTTTCTGATAATGTTACGTAAGGAAAAAAAAAAGAAAAGTTATCTAACCTTAAATGACTTTAAATGACGCAGCAAACTGTGTAATGTGAGGCAGAACAAAGATAAATCCCATGAGCAAATAAAGGCACCATAATGAATGACATATTCAAAAAGCCAAAGCAAACTTAAAAGAAACTGTGAACACTGGCCATAAATTCTTACAGTTCTGTAAGGTGACCAAAAACATTTCGACACACTGAGGGTAAGCGGGATGGAAAAACTTTAAAAATATGCTGATGGAAAAACTTTAAAAATATGCTGATGGAAAAACTTTAAAAATATGCTGATGAATTGTTTGCACTAAACACTTTACTGGAACAGGTTTCTGTTGTAATGAAAAATGATCCCAAAATAATATTGGAAAAGGTTTAATGGAATTCAGGAGGCCCCTGTCTCGTGGTATTTGGACTAACAACCAGCAAAGAGAAAAACAGCCTGTTCCTTACTGTATGTCTACGTGCTTTTGCCGTTTGTTGTTTTTGGTGTGCTGTTCGTCACGTTGCAGTGTCATCTAGTTTCTGCCTGCCCCCGTGTCTGTCCAAAGTAAGTAAGTATGTTAGTATGCTTCTTTTATCCCAATCGTCATTTCCAGTGTTGAGGAAGTTATATTGAAAAAATAATTAATTATAGTTACTAGTTATTTCTTCAAAAAAGTAACTGAGTTAGTAACTGAGTTACAAGATTCTAAAAGTAAGTAATTACTTGAAAAGTAACTATTGCTTTACTTTAAAAAATGTTTAACCCCCTGGGATCCAGGGTATAATTGGCCATTTTTAACCACATTTTACCTTTAAAAACTGTTTACTTTGCCTTGTTTGGTATCATCCTTTTCAGCACAACCTCACGTGTCTGAATTTACAGTTATGTTTTCATTTTGACATACTGTATTGACACAATTGATATGCAGTAAGCCGAACACAGCTTCAACCGTCTGTTTGTTGACAAATAGTAACGGACCGCATTTTCTTGTTAGCAACTGTAACAGCGTTGTAACGATACTCGTTACTGAAAAAAATAACGCCGTTGCTTGTAACGCATTCCCATCACTGGTCATTTCCATGCAACAAGGTTAATGATACGAATCTGCTCA